TTTTGATGTATAACACATCTCATCCGCTATAATGTGACCTGATGTAATGAGACAACAAGCATTTGAACAACATTTGAGAGGATATATGCCCCAAGAGTCTCTTAGAGTCTGCCCAGTTATTTCATCACAATGGCTATTTTAAAGGATGCTGTATGACTACGGATCCTTATACTAATTAGAAAATGCCATTTGATGTTAAATTATATGAAACCATTAACATCTCCATGATCTTGAAAATGTATATAATGGCTTCACTCATAAATACCGCTCAAAAATTGAAATTTTTGATCTAGGAACTCCTTCTGAGGTTTTTAATCTTCTTCTTCTGAGGTTTAACAAATTTATCATCCAACTTAATGATCGATAAGATTCTTTTCCCATATCATTATTGAAAATACCCGATTGCGACGGTACGTTCAAAAGCGGCAAAATCGAATGAAAATCAACTATTGAGTTACCAAGCGTTTACACTCTGGCAGGAATCTTTCGGTGCGGTGCTTGTTACAACAGATTTGCATAAAGAATCTTTTTGACTTAATTTAGCCGTCGAAATTCCACGGAATAAGTCATATTAGACGTCGAATACAGTATATACTTAAATATTCTGGAAAGCTTGCATAAATTATCTCAATACCACATTTAGTAGACCCATGAGACGATAGTACGTTTTGTTTTGGCACGCGAACGTCGTGTCGCCATTGTCGCGAGGATCGCCCAGTATTCACACTACGGAAACCTGTGCCGTGTATCACACTCAATGGCGTCATTAGGCTTGACGTAACGAGAAGCTGTCCTGCTAAAACCCGGCTTCTGCGCTGAACCTAGCGCACCGGCTTCGTTCTTTTGTGCTGCTAGTCCCTTCTTTACTTAATGACTTGTTTTCATTCCGTTTCGTTTTCCTAACGTACTCTAGTTTTCTCCGATTAGTGAGACATGATTAAACTTTTGATTAATCTGTGAGGATTTTATTCGGTTACGATTGCAAACCGAAAATTTTCCATTACTTCAACCTCCATCGTTCTCCTACTTCTCGATCGTTGCTGTTAATTTAATGAATTATTCTTTTTAGTCTTCATTGCAATATTTAATTCATGCGTTAATATATGACCTCTCGGCAGTTACTTGCGCTTCGAATATGTTGGTATGAAAGATAAGTTGAAAATAGTTTTTTTATTCACACTATAATTCCTGCACTTATTAATTATTTGCGAAGACACTAACATATTATAACTATAAACTTCATTAAAATTCGCTTATCCTCTCAGTTTTCATGGCCATTAATGCTTCCTGCAGTGTGGGTAATGGCTGGCATAACCCCACACAAAGTTTTATTCAATTCTTTTTTGAATTATCTTGATATTTTGATTCTCCCAATTTAAATGTTTGTCAGATATAATCGTTTTGTCAAAGATCGTTCTATTTATAAACAAATACGAAAATATATATCAAATAGAATAGGGTTTTGATCCGTTCTACCTCGGCAACAATATTTAGGCGAAGATAGTATGCAAATTTTCATGTTTTTCTGGTCAAGATGTAATCATTTATGCTCGTTTCATCTGAATGAGAATCAATATTTCCTCTTATTTTATTTGTGGGTAAATCCTTTTTTAACCTAAGTATTTCCGAGTATTGATGACCATCTGTGCATTCAAGTGACATTTCGATTTCAAGCTTCATCGTTACAATTTTGTTTCTCATTTAGGAAAGCAGAAGTTTTTGCCTGATGGAACTAGAGCCTCAGAAACTGTCGCTATATTAGCCGAGCAGCCAGGGAGGGATGAGCTTAATCCCCTTCGTTGCAAGTCGATTTTCAAAATCACGTTAGTGTTGAGATTGCTTCAGCACCCTCGCTGCGTAGCACGCCTGCATTAATTGTTCCGCTGCCTCGAGCTAAATATTTTCTCTTGATTTACGATAACGCGCAGATGGTGCTTCTGCACGAACACCTTATCAAATTACGCCTTCGTTTCTCTTCTACGAAGATTAATCAATATTTTGTGCTAATGCTCTCAATCATCTCCACAAGACGAGAACTCTCCTTTTTCTCTCCCTTCATCTTCATGGCAATAAGCATTAGCTAGCATACAAACTTGTTTGCTTCAAGTCTTATTTGTTTGTGTTATCGTTATATTTTAAATAGTTCTGTGTACAATTCTTACTTTCCGTGGAAGTTTATGTTCATTTAGAGCAGTTTCGATCTATTCCGGTCTAGCGTGATCAGCAATTATCTCTGGTAGGAGATGAAGGCTTGTCGGTTACCAGGAACATTTGTTTCCAGAATAAATTGTATTCAACATAAGCTCCCACGTTGGTAGAGTGACATGTATATTGATAAGTTACCTCCTGTTATTTGTACCCAAGATGAAGTCCAAAAGCATAAGTATTCATTTTAAATCCTTTTCTGAAAACGAATTGAACCTGCTTTAATCGTCTCGTCTTCTTTGAACATCCGTTAATATTTAAGACGATTCTTCAGGAATGCTTGTGGACATAAAGACATGCCAAGGGTTACATGCTAGCAAAATTGTTGGGAGCCCCAGTTGTTCAGACTTTTGAATTCTACTCCGACATTTATTGCCTAAAGAATTAATCAATGTGTAAACTTCTTTAGATTCGTAAGTTTCAATCAAAATTACAATGGACAATGCTATGCGTTTTCGGTCGATCTTAATTTTATAGTCCGAATTTCTACGTTACAAATTCGTACCGCACGTATAAACAATTTGCATAAATTTGCCGTCAGCATAGTGATAAAGCATTTATGTTTCATTTTATTACCGAAATCCTTCCTGGTTAACTTTTCCCGTTTTGAAATTCATCTGGAATTCCCCTTCGTTTTATTGATACCAGTCTAGTCAAGACTGAAATCTTGCTCGCAGTTTTACTGAAATTTTTCTCGTTTTAGAGCTTATAAAAAACTGCCTTTTGGGTAGCGTATTAAATCGGGACTACTAAAAATTTTAGTTTAACTTTAAATTTCCGCTCGTAAACGCTCTAAGCCGGAATTGCAGTAACTGAGAAATGACGGAATATCTCTTAATCGCTTCTAAACGAACTCGCTTCAAACTTTTGTCGTATTCCTAAGCCTGATTACGATACTTGAGGTGAAAACTGTGAATTCTAATTAGGTGAGTACATTACAGTAACTTTATATGTAAAGGCTTCCTGTGGTGGTAAGTGTAACCGAGGTTCAGTGGATGCAAGTACGTGGTGATGACTGAAAGTGACATGACATTGAGTGTGCGGTGATCTCCATTGCGTGTTGTTAAGAGGACTTGAAGACAATTGTTGAAATTAATTAAGTGGTAGTGAATAATGGTGGATGAATTGAAATTTGAAGTTATACTTGAATTTAAATGTCAAATAGGTAGAAGAATTGAATTGTGGAATTAGGGTAGAAGGAAATTACTTAGAAGCATATGAACCCAAGCATTGGATATGGTTTAAATGAAGCTGTGGAACGGCGGATGAAATTTTATCTTGTTGAATAAAACTGAAGAGTGATGTGTTGAATTTTGCCTGGAAAAATGCAGCCAATGAGAGGCAGAAGAAACCCTAAGGGCAGTTGAATAAGATATACGTATGCCAGTAGATGAAACTGAGAGCTATTAATAAAATTGAACTCAGGAATAGCTGGTGTATACATAGTATACCTTAATTAACTACGCTCTTACGCTTCATCTAATTATAAAACTATTCATTGAAGAGTGACATGACTTGAAGCTTTCCATAATGTCATTCATTTATATTGTATTCGAGGCAATAGGGTATCTCACACGGTGTTTAGCGAGACTCCTATGTTACACGATGTAGTTTTGGGCGCGCCAGTAACTGCATGGTGGGACGTTGATGTTTTTGACAGGAGGGATTGAGGAACAAAGTTTTCAGAACCATTGTACTACATGATTGTATTTTCTAAGTCGTACACAATAAAAAATTTAATATCCTACGGAATAACATGCTTTTATATATTTCAAAATGACTCTCATCTGTGCTTCAAATTACTCAAGACTATGGAGATGCTGAGCTTTAGCTTGATGGTGCCTAATGAATGCTTACTTTATAGCCATTTTTCGGTGTGCTTTCATGTTACTTATTAATGTCAACAGATTAAGTGTCTCATTTTCCACTAAATTATAATGAAGTGTTACAATTTACGTCGATGCCCAATATATTAACTGTTTTTCACCATAAAACGGTCTTCGTTCAATACTAGATTTACATTTGTGGCGGCAGGATTATATCAGACTTCATCGCCATTACATTGGTTGTGCTGCAAATTGCCTATCATAGAGCGCGCCGTTAGAGGCAATAGGCAAACCCGACAATGCGGCACTATTGCCCTCAAACCAGTTCCTGCTAATTGCCTAATGTTGCTGCCACAATCGATCCGTTAACTCCTGCGCCACTGAATCTGAGCTTCGCCAGTTTCCAACGGTTGATTGCTTTGCTGTGTAGACTCAGGCCCCTTCCAGCTTTGAATTTCCTCGAGTCTATTCCTGACCGTTGTGACGCCCTGCAAGCTGTATGGTCGGAGTTTGAGAGGTCGCTATACTTTATCTCAAACAGAGAATTTGAATGTCTTATCTGGATTTTAGTTCATTATGTTAGCGTTCGACGACTACGCAAGAATGTGAACTTAATATGAATTTTTGATATTGTTTTCTGAAAATTTAATTTCTAGTGGTATCCGTCGTCCAGAAATTTCCGGATTAAATGAGTTTGATTAGCTTGCGCACATAAAATCATGCTGGACGTAATACGATTTAATTAATTATGTCCACTTTTGATGAAGAAGTAATTGACTTTTGCAAGTAGATTGGAAATAAGCTACAGTAGATGTGTGTACTATACCATACGCCAAACCGTTAGTTGTCTCACAATTACAACTTATAATTAAGCTACGTTAATATTGACAGAAATTATTTCCTCAGGTCTCTCTCTTCCCCTTGAAAATATGTAGCAACACTGAAGTTCTCTCATTGTTCGGTTTGCAGGGCATCACGCTGAAGATGAACGAGGAGGGACGCTGCATAGTAGCGCGTATCATGCACGGTGGCATGATACATCGCCAGGCGACCCTGCATGTCGGCGACGAGATCAGGGAGATCAACGGCGTGCCTGTAGCCAACCAGACCGTCGATGCGCTGCAGAAGATGCTGGTAGGTTCTCTTGCTGCTGCACCCAATCAATTCAGTGTGGAAAACTGTGAAGTTAATTTCGACGACTGACTGTTAGGATATGCACGAGTTTGATGTGCGATTTGTCAAGAGAATGTGTGTGTGTGTGTGTGTGTGTAGAATGAGTATAGTCCCAGCTCGGTTTAGAGTTATTATCTCTGATAAGAAATTTTAAAAATTCCCCAGTTGGCGATTGATTCATAACATAAGCGCACTGTTTCCAGAGAAATCTCAGGATGATTTAATCCTCAGAATTTTTGACAAGTCACATTTATTCGCAGTTTTACACAGTTGTAGTGTCTGAAAACTTCAACGTCCAGCTAATCGACATCAAACCCTTGTCAACGAAGAACTACGTTCGTCTGTTGCTAAATTCCACATTGGAATTCAATTCCAAATGATCTATAGCGCCGTGTATCGCTGGCCTGCAGTACAAATGCTATGCCCCTCTTGTTCAGCATCTCATTGAAAGCCGCCAGCTTGAGCTTGTTTGTTGCCACCATTGCTTAGCCTTGTCGTAAAATTTAACTGCGCGATACTCGTTTGCACATCCATTCAGTGCTCCGTCATTCCGTTCGAGTGCCTTTCAGTAAGCAAGCCTGCCGCAGTTGCTACTCGTCCCGTCTGACGATTTGTAGTCCAAACCTAATTTGGTGATGGGGCGCTGGACGGCCCTCTAAAATGGAGCGAAACTGCTAGCACTTCACGACTTCCTTGGGGGCTCACATCGCGCCAACGGCAAGAGCTTGACGTGCTTCAGTGGAAGTCGATCCAATGTTCCTGATCGGTTTAGTGCTTTCCAACCGCTTCAACTAACTTCTTCGACTCGGCCATCAGGCTCAACACGTTTTTTGAAAAACTTTCACTCATGCTGTTGCTTGCCTAAGAATCATTTTTTCTCTGGCTGAAAGACGCAGGATTTCGCTTCCAAGTGAAGACGCATTCAATGTTAAGATCTCTGTTGTGAAGAAGCTCGCTCGACTGGCACTACCAGTTACGGACTATGCTTAACTCGTTCTTTTTTTGTTTCTAAGAACGAGAGAAGTGCGCTTGAATTGACTGAATGTAGCTTCTAAATTGTGTAATTGTCTAAAATTTATTAGGAAACTTTGTAATCCAATTTGTTTCAGAAGCAAATTTTGGAGACCATAAACTCATGAACTTTTGGACTGTTAATTAAGAGGCTCGAAGTCAACATTACCACAAATGATTCTCATCAAGAAAATCCAGTTTTCCTAAGACCTTTTTTTCCGAAGACGTGCTTTAATAATTAATTGAATTCGTAATAGTTCTAATTTCAATTAGGAAGAAATTTTCGTGTTTATAAGATCAACTATTTGAAAAAAAATGTTACAATTCCAGAGGCCTTACATTAAACAAGTTGGCATGTTTTAAGCGTAGTTGTGATTAAACTTGAAACCAATGTTGCCATGTGTGATCTCTAATTCGTCGTTATTGCCCCAGAGGGTTGGGTCCATCTTTGAAATTCCAAATTGTTGGAATTAACTATGATCTTTATAAGGATGAGAAGTAAACTCAATAAAAAGTATACCCGTGCGAGGTGTACTCAAGACTGGCATTCGCGCAGGGAATTTAATAGAACTTCGTGCAAGTAGAAAATTTGGACTGCACGCAAGAAGAGATGCGCGGTTTTGTTAAGGGTAACAATAGCCCTTATCTTGCCTAATGGTACAATGCACGAAATTCATGCAGGGCAAAAATGCGTCCCGAGGTTTCCTGGTTCAAAGGAGCAAATTGCTTTCAATACAAACGCTGATTGGGTGCTTAGTAAGTTGGAAATTTGTTAGAGGCACGGATTTTTTTGTTATTTATAGTTCTGTAAACGAGTTTTCCAATTAGCTTTCAGTGAAATTTTCTCCAAGCTCTTTTTTTAAGATAAATTCTGAAAAATCTTCGCCACTAATGTAAAATTTTCAGGTTTTTATGACGAAAAATCGGGGTTATTAGTTATATTAACTTGCCAGGGATTGAAAACTCGTAAAATTTGTTGGTCCTGTTTACCTATTATTTTAACGTTACATATCACCATTCAGAACTTCTAAATTAGCAAGAATGGCGTGCTGCTTCGAGGATTCTTTGCGTGTGCTTTTTCAGAACATTTGGAAAAGCTTCAGCTTCAATTGCAGGTACGGAAAAACAGTGATTTTATAGCTTCCAATCAGCGCTTAATTGTGCGGATCAGAAACACAGCTCACACATTTTTGAGATTGCCAATGCTCCTGGAATTACGTTGCTCATTTTCGCGTAGGTCAGTCAGAATTTAATTAGGCCTGTGCTTCATTTGATTTGTCCGTGTCTAGTTTGGAGCTAAGAGCTGCGTCGCGACTGATGAGAAAATTTCACTTACTCGTTTGGAATTTGCGTGTTTTCGTTAGAGTAATTTACTGGTTAAATGATCCTGGGTGTTTGCTGTGGTTTTTATTTTCGTAATCATTGCACCACAGAAAAATATTTTTCGCTACGAGGCACCTGACTATATTTAGTGATGTGGTGAATTTTTTCTTTTAAAAGCAGATGTTGACTCTGAGACAATTGTATCTAACATGTACATGTACAATTAATCTCGTGAATTGTTCCGTACCTGACGACTTGAAGTAATGCATTTGTTCACTAGCGTAATTTTCATATTTATTTGCGCTTTAGCGGGAAAACTATGAACTGAAAAATTTAATAAATATCCAAATCATCTCCCCTGACACGCTTGAGCTCTTTTGTGCCGACTACACTGCCTATTAGCCCCCGAGTTGTTGATTAATTCTCAAGAATATTACTTCATCGCACATTTATCATACCCATTCTCCAATCCTTCCAACATAAGCTAAGTTGTTGTAACATTATTTCCGCGATTGAGAATCAGTGAACTAATTTTATGGAATCCAGCTGTGTGTGAATCTGAAACAAAAGTACGTAATTTTGTAACGTGTCTTGGGCTCTCGAAATTCTCTTTTTGGCTGCTTTAAAACTTGCTACCAGCCTGCAGTGCTGGAGGACTGAGACGATAGCTGCCGCAAGTACTTGATGCGAAACAACAACGCTCGCTCTATGTATGAAGAAGAGTCGCCGACACAGACGCACATCAAACGCGGTTGCTGCATGCGTATCCTTACAGCTTCGGGACCCATTGCCTTTGATTATATGCGGATCGTTGAGAACATTTACTAGCGTGATAACATCGCGCTCAACTTAGAGGTCTTCATTTGCAGTAATCGTGCGGGGACCATGCTTTAAATTTCTTACAAAATTACTGCAAGTGAGATTGCGAGCGGTGTAGGTTTATTGCGTGGCATAAGACAATTTTAGAAAACGGTCGGTTTTTAATAGGGGTTGAATGAAGCTAGATGTGAATTAGGCTGCTGCTTCAACAACCTTAATCTTTATTCGATCATAATACATTTGTCATGTGCTTCAGTTTTGAAATTACGCGTATGGAGAGTATTTTACAGTTCAGGCTAGATTCATGATAATATTTACATAATAAACAGAACATGTATCGAAAAATTAACTGGCATAAACGACGAGGCCGCACATATCATAAGTACGTATTTAATAGCGTTCGCTGGGGAACTCACTAGGGGATTTGATGCTACATCCTCAAGCGAGTTCACTGGGGAAATCACTAGGGGATTTGATGTTACATCCTCCAGCGAGTTCACTGGGGAACTCACTAGGGGATTTGATGCTACTTCCTCAAGCGAGTTCACTGGGGAACTCGCTAGGGGATTTGATGCTACATCCTCAAGCGAGTTCACTGGGGAACTCGCTAGGGGATTTGATGCTACATCCTCCAGCGAGTTCACTGGGGAAATCACTAGGGGATTTGATGTTACATCCTCAAGCGAGTTCACTGGAGAACTCACTAGGTGATTTGATGCTACATCCTCAAATCCTGTAGGTTATGAGACGCTCAGTCAGCATCGCCAGGTTGTTCACGCAGGCGAGCAGAGCATATAAAGTCTATGGCGATGAATTACTAAGGCCAGAATGACTATCGTTAACGTCACACGTCGGTATTAGTTAGAGTCTTGACAAATACGATACAAAACTGTTTGCATTATTCACTGAGTACGTCTGGGTGGATGAACTGAAAACTGATGTCGTTAATATAAGTTTTTAGAATCGCGATACCTTTAGGAGGTCGTCATTACTCTTGTTTTTCCTTGCTAGATAGCTAGGTGCAATGTGGTTGAACTTAATCTTTAATGAACTCTTAATCTAATTTTTAGCTGCGTGTAATGAAAAATAGTTGATATGCCCTGAATAAGTTGTAACGTGACAAATGTGATTAGTATGAGCGCTCTCAAAGTGTGCCTGAGAATTTTGTATTCGGAAGATTGAAATGGTTTGACCATGCTCTTAAGTGACATTTAATTCATGGTATTTAATTATTTATGACATTTGATTTTTCAATATAACTTTCTTGACATAATCTTAGAATTTGGTAGTTACCTTGTGCACTTTGAATAATGAATAAAAGTTTGCTTCTACTCTGGAAGAATTACTAGATTTGTTGACTTTTCTTGTGCCCGTAATATACTCTGTGTAAGATTGGCCGAACTTTTTACATCCCTATTTGTCTTTCTTGTGTAAAAATTGCGTAGCTATTTGAATCAGCTGTAATCTTCCCTTGGAAATAGGTTCAGAGCTCTTTACGTCAGTGCTTATCTTCCCTGAGTAAAAAGAGCATAACTGTTCACTGCAATGCCAATATTCATTGCTAAGGGTATAGCTGTTCACAGCAGTTCTGACCTGCCCTAGGTAAGGCCATAGCTGTTCACAGCAGTAACCTGCCCTAGGTAAGGCCATAGCTGTTCACAGCAGTGACCTGCCCTAAGTAAGGCCACAGCTGTTCACAGCAGTGACCTGCCCTAACCTGCCCTAAGTAAGGCCATAGCTGTTCACAGCAGTAACCTGCCCTAAGTAAGGCCACAGCTGTTGACAGCAGTGACCTGCCCTAAGTAAGGCCACAGCTGTTGACAGCAGTGACCTGCCCTAAGTAAGGCCATAGCTGTTCACAGCAGTAACCTGCCCTAAGTAAGGCCACAGCTGTTGACAGCAGTGACCTGCCCTAAGTAAGGCTACAGCTGTTCACAGCAGTGACCTGCCCTAGGTAAGGCTCTAGCTGTTCACAGCAGTGACCTGCCCTAAGTAAGGCCACAGCTGTTCACAGCAGTAACCTGCCCTAAGTAAGGCCATAGCTGTGTACTCGTAAGTGCGAGGCTGCATGCCTCATATTACCCTTCTTGTTGTTCTCTTCCACCCCCTGCCTCCGCCGTCTCCCGGGAACTGCTCACCTCGTCTGCACTCATCGCCCCGCGTCGGTGTCGCCTTCGTCTCGACTGATTCCCGCCCTATTTTCTTCTCTTTTGTCTTGACGAAAATTTTCTGATTGCTCTCTTGGTTCCTCAATACTTCTTAATGATCAATTCTGTTTTGAAATTCCAATCTCCTATTTAAAAAAATTTGCCTCAATATTTTATTGTAAAATGTATATTTTTTCTCGATCAATATTTTCTTGAACTGGGCAATTGTAAAAATAATTACGCAACCCATATTTCTCCATAAATAAATTTGATGTGTTGCGTGCTTACCTCTAATATTTATTTTCGTCTCGTTATTTCTATACTTATTTCTTCACAACTTTCAACCTATCGGCCACATGTTTGCCACCCATCCCTGGACGTTGTGGATGCTAACCCTCTCCTCACTACCCTCGCGTTGCCCTCAGCGGGAGGCCCGAGGCTCCGTTACCTTCAAGATCGTCCCCTCGTACCGCAGCGCACCGCCTCCCTGCGAGGTGAGTTCTCCAATCTTGGCATTTCCGATTAGAATTTATTATTACATTATTATTTATTTAATAATAATATAATTATAATAAATAATTAATTTTTATTAATTTATTTGTTATTTTTATTATTGCATGCATTTTTTTCTAGAATATTATTGATTAGCAGCATATAACTTGACTGCTGCCTAGTGTTCAAGGAGATTTTAAATACTTTTTCGATATGAACTCAAATTGTTATGATTCCAAATATGTTTTAAACCTCAACTTCTGTGGTTAGGATCTAGAATATATTTGAGTTATAAAATAATTTAATTGCTTCCTATCGTGTATCGCTAAAGGTAAAAAAATCACTTTCTATTTAATGTACTTGTTTACTTGACTGAAAAGTTTCATCGAATCTTTTTTGTAAATAATCAATTATTGATCGTCAGCACAAATTTGTGTTTATTTTTATCGGAGGGATACGCGTCTTTTTCGTTAATCCTGCGCAGAGTTAAAACTCGTGCTGCTCATAGTTATTTTTTTGAGTATCTACCGACATAATTTTAACCTGGGGGAACATCCTATGCAGTCAACTTAATATCTTACGTGCTACAAAATCTCCATACTTTTACGATGTTTGCGTGCTCCCCTAATTGAATATTAAATTAATGGCTGTTACTGCAAGAAGCAAATGTGTAATTTACATACACGAATAAAGAGGTACACTCATCATTCACCAATTGCACGTATGCAATTTCTACTAATAGTGCAATGTTGTATTCTAGTGTTTGATATCATTCGTGCAATGAGGCTACTATAGCAATGAGCTCTGTTGAATACTGACATAAAGGATAACGTACAACCCATTGCCGACGTTTACGAGAACACAAATCTTAGAAATTCGCATTTCATCCCGTGCAATGCTGCGCGCCGCACCTTCAAAGACTGCCACTTTCTTCTCGGTGTTTGCCAGCGCGTTGCTCTTCCAATGTATGAACGTCGACCTTCCAAGCAGAAGTCAGAAGAGGACAGCCCAAGTTATTATTTGAATCATTTGCTGACTCAGTCTTCTGCTCTCTGCCGATGTGTATCTTATTCGGCTTTTTTGTCAGGTGATATTGATTTTTTGCTGCCATCTTGAAACCCTCGTCAAAAATCTGGGAAAAGCTGAAAAAACCCTCGAAAAAGCTCGAATTCAGGTGCAGTGAAGGCTTCAACTTTTTTCTGAAAGTAAAAATTCTTTTTCACTTATGATAATCCGCAAGGCTATTGTGAAATCTCGGAATCAAAATCCCATTTGTTTCTCGGTATGAAATAAGCTGATTCATTTTCCTTGTTCAAGTGCAGTCCCATTTCTCAGGTACTAACCAAAGAACGCAAGATATGTTCATCATTTAGTCATTTTTAGAACCGTTTCATATTTTATGTAGCACCGGCCCGTCGAATTCATGCTGCATCAATATCTGAAGCTAGGAGAGCTATCGGCACCTGCTGTATTTTAGATCCTTCTTTACGACATCGTCTCGGATTTCTGTTCTCCCTTGAGATGATTCAGGCGCTGCAAACCAAGCGAGCTAATCCCGTAGCTCTTAGTACTTGCCAAGGTTATCGTCTGCCTGCCCAAAACCATTTCCAGTTGGCAATATTTTGCTTCGAAGTAAATGAACTTCCTCTCCCATTCCAGGCTATGCTAATCTTCTGCGCCCGAAAAAATGTTCGTGTCGATACCCGAATATTCTTGTCGGCAAAACTGCGGCGCTACGAAGAGATTTTAAGCCTTAGTGATGCTTTTTCTATGTTATTGAATCGTCGAGTAGATTTTAAACGGAACAAAATGTAAACCTTGGGAAATTTAACCATCGATTGAAATTTATTTACATTTTTCTTGGCAGGATAGGTTGAACGGCCTTTTGCACGAGGTTCTTGCTGTTCAGGAAGTTTATTATTCTTCTCTTTATTTCTCATTGAATTCTGAAAGCTTGCATATCATACATGTTGAAATGGTCTTTCGCAGTTGATAATGTTCCACGCTTAGTTAGTTTGCCCTTAAAGACAGTAGGCTGATGATATACTTAATTAGGCAGGTATTAAAATGTAAAGCTTTTTTATTTTATCTCTGTAGTTTTAGGTTGGAACTGTTCATCTATAAAACACACGTCAGACAGACATTATTTCCAATGTTGTTCTTGGATAAATATTTAGATTTTGTTTACGGTTCGATATCCTTCTGCAACACTTCTATCAGAGAAGTCGTTCACATTACAGAGTTTTTTGTTTCATTTTGTGGATCTTTTTTTACCAGACCGCCTGGTAGGACTAGCCTACCAATTTTTTTATCGCCATTAATTATTTAAAGGTCTCAAGGTCTTTGGGCTTGATTGAACGCCTCGAAAAAGTTGTGACGTTCTTTGTGTGTTCTCGAAGAATAATTTATCTTGGCTACAAGCTCAGAGTGATGTTTTTTTTAATTTTGTTTCTCTTTCGTAGCCTAACAATGCTTTATATTCTGCTGGAACGATTTTTCAAGTCAGTGTGCAGGCGAAGATACGAGCCGGACCGCGGAATTACTGCCTGAGTTGCCTGCGATTGCTTTTTGGATCTTGCAAAAAAATGTTCACCTTCAAATTCATTTATGAACCCCGCAATTACGGATGGTTTGAACAATTTTGTTTGTTATAGCTCTGCTAATTTTTACGATTACAATGTGTCTGATTCAAACATATTCTCCTGAATTGATTATTGTCATGTTCTAAGTAAATTATTTAATCAAGAGTAAATTATTTAATTTCAACCCGTACATCCAATAGATTTTTGGTTATTCGGCATATTTTATTCCGTGACGAACTCGCTGAACAACTTGCATCCACCGCAATTTTCAATCGCTCTTATATTTTCGATCATTCAATGGATATTCAATAACGATTCTAAGAGCAGTGTTAACATGAGTTTGCTTTTAACATTCTTCACTCTAAGAGGCTATAGTATGTTGATCTTCGATCGAAGTGATCATTAGCTTTAACCGCATCAGTATCTACTGAATCATTGAGAGACATTGCCATGGATGTGGCAGCGCATGGCAAATCAACAACGCAGCAGCAGCAGCGTATGGCAAGTCAGCAAAGCACAAGCAGCAGCGCATGGCAAGTCAGCAACGCAACAGCAGCAGCTTATGGCAAGTCAGCAAGGCACCAGCAGCAGCGCATGGCAAGTCAGCAACGCAGCAGCAGCAGCGTATGGCAAGTCAACAACCCAGCAGCAGCAGCGCATGGCAAGTCAGCAACGCAGCAGCAGCGCATGGCAAGTCAGCAACGCACCAGCAGCAGCAGCAGCGCATGACAAGTCAGCAACGCAGCAGCAGCAGCGTATGGCAAGTCAGCAACGCAGCAGCAGCAGCGTATGGCAAGTCAGCAAGGCACAAGCAGCAGCGCATGGCAAGTCAGCAACACAGCAGCAGCAGCGCATGACAAGTCAGCAACGCACCAGCAGCAGCGCATGACAAGTCAGCAACGCAGCAGCAGCAGCGTATGACAAGTCAGCAACGCAGCAGCAGCAGCGCATGACAAGTCAGCAACACAGCAGCAGCAGCGCATGACAAGTCAGCAACGCAGCAGCAGCAGCGCATGACAAGTCAGCAACGCACCAGCAGCAGCGCATGGCAAGTCAGCAGCGCATGGCAAGTCAGCAACGCAGCAGCAGCAGCGCATGGCAAGTCAGCAACGCACCAGCAGCAGCGCATGGCAAGTCAGCAGCGCATGGCAAGTCAGCAACGCAGCAGCAGCAGCGCATGGCAAGTCAGAAACGCAGCAGCAGAAGTAGCAGCAAGATGGCCGCTCATTTGTGTGACATACGAGGCAATTGTCTGGTGCTGCAGCTTCTCTCCGAATTAGGCTTCAGAATTGAGAGATTTTCTTGCCTCTTTGTTAAAGCCACAGGAGTTCTGTGATATAATGTGCCCTGTTATCGAGAGCGGGTCTGCTCTTTGAAAAGATCGGCTTTGCATAAGTTCACTCCATTGCGTCACTCTCCTGCTGATCTCGAATTAAGCGTGGAAATTCCTAGAGCCAGTCATTTCTAATGCGGAAAAAGCTGAGGCTCTTCTAACATGAACTAAATTTCAAATTTTTTTATTTTCTCGGAGCCTCGCCAAGTGATATTGGGAGAAGCTCCTGACGACGGTCGCACGAGAGGCCGGCTATCGGACTCGATGCGTCGACAGCGAGTTAATCTTCCTTGGGCTAGGGGGAAAAATACGCCGTTGTCACCGCCCCACTGGCCCCAAACTCCAGTACTTTCTCATTCACTTTCACACACTCGTCCAAGATTTGTAAACTAGAATATTTTATTCGTTTCATTCGAGTCCTGAATTCCTTGAAGCTGTTTTCATTCTTTGCCTCCAGAAAGTCTTCCTACGGAAATAATTCTAGACGCTATGAAGAAAATTCACTAAAGTATTCAGTTTTAATTTTTGAGCTACCTAATGAAAATATGACTTCTTAATAACTTTTTATTTAATTAAAAATTTGCTTCCTTCATGTTCGTTAGTCTCATTCTAATCTTCCACACTCTCACCAATTTCTACACTCAGTTCACCTCTTGTAACCGAAACGTAATTTGGTTGGCGTTCTTAACGCATCAATTGAAATATCACAAAGTCTAATCGTTGTAAATGAAAAAGTTTGCGGCTGAAATACTGTTATTCCCTTCCTAGATCATATCTGCTAATTTTTCCACACTATCCTCCGACCCTCCTCTCCATTCCACGCTGAGAATTTATTACTTGTACTGCAGTCATATTTTTGTCAGGGAATGCGAGAGCTGCGTCACACGCGAGCACGCCTACGCCAGCTCTGCTGAGACTGCTGCGCAACTAAATGTTGGGTGGGCGTATGTGACTTATTTGACTTGTTCATCTCAACTGCAGTCCCTTGTAATGTTGGTAAAAATGATAAAAAATTCATCATGGTCATCTTGGAATACATTTGATTCTTATGCTGGGAATTAATTTTCAAATCAGGTTTTAAATTTCATTTCCCAATTGCATTTCATCTGCAGAATAGAAGCTAAAACCGAACTTAGCTCGCGGTCTGTTTGCATATTCATTTATTGAAGGTTGTTCCGTCATTCCATATTTTTAACCTTAAATGAATCGCCTGTTCTTGTGCGAATCTGTTGGAATAACCACCATGAAGATCCAATTACACCGCCGTGAAGGCCATCATTTTTGACGAAGCCTTTTTATCTCGAATTCAAAGCACGAAATAGAATAAGGGATCGGAGTTCTAGCTCTCGTATTAATGAGCTCTTAGCGTCCTCCATTGGCTCTAAATGACCTCTTGACTGCTAGTTCCTCGACCCAAGAGCTGCGTCCTGATGAGAAGTGCTTTATCCCTTCATTGTAACTCTGAATTTTTATTAACGTGGCAGTATTGCGTGACAGAGACGCTGTTTCTTTTTGTGTATCTCAGTCTCCGTTAATCTCAGTAGTACCGCGCGTGCTGAACATGGAGCGTAACTGGCGCGGCAAGTTGCTGGTCTGTTCCTGTATTCCTGGGTTAAATTTGTATTTTAATTTAATTTAGCCCCGTGACCCCGGTCGTCTGTTTTATCCTGCCTGTGCAGTGTAGGTGCAACCGTACGATCCATATAGTCGGCTGAAGAAGTTTCTTTAACAACTTTATTTATGAGGTGTCATTTAATCAGTGCAGCAACGTGACATTATTTTACTAATTTATGTTATAAAACACGTTGACTGAATTTAAGCACCACCAACTTCTTTCCTATTTTCTAATACATTTTTCACGGCGTTTTTATATGATTGACCGTGCGAATAAAAAGTCGTCACTGAAGTTTTCCTGCAGTACAATAACCATCCATGCTCACCCGTCTCCAGTCACCCCTAGTTTACTGGGCATTCTGTTCAGAAAAAAATATTCCTATGGTTTCATTCAACTAAATAATGTGTTCGTGTAATTTCTGAAAACGAAATGAAGTTTCCATTTGGCGTATATTGTAGTCTAGCAGAGCTCGCGTGCCACTCAGCTACTTGCAGCACATCAGCCGTGAGCCACGCACCTTGTAATGTAGCATGCCAGGCACACGTTCATTGCTGCGCAGGGAGATGCAAGGAGAGGTCTAAGTGGCGCTCGCCTCTTCAGCGGAAGCTCGCCTAAAAACTTCAGATAAGCTAATGGTCCTGTTTTGTCCGGTCCCGACGTACAGTCACCGCCGTCCTAAAAAGAAATTCGACCATCTTGTTTCAGCTCTTCGTTGGTCCTTTAAGGGCTCAAAAATTATGACATTGGCCAGTACTGCACTTTGAAAAATATATTCGTTTTCAATGTGAGAAGTTCCGGTAATTTATGACTTGAGGAAATTTATAGCTTTTTGCAATGAGTTTTCGTTTCTTTTGTCATCATTGTTGAGAGCGTTACATCAAATCACGCATACTTACGTATTAGCGGTTAACTTCTGTTCTTTACCGAATTGTTTCAACCATCATAATCGCAATGCAAATATTCTTTAATTCAGAGACCAAAATTTTCTACAAATGCTTTGAAACAAGTTCATTGCTAGCTTCAATTCAAGACCCGAGTTCACAGTTTAATTGCCACTCCAAGTTTTGCTTGCTCAGTCCCCGTCAATTGTCATGACCAGTTATCCCGACGAAGCTTCTGAACTTGTGTTTCCAGTTTTAACCCGTGGGATGTGCTGCCAGAAAAGTCGGCTTGATCCTCGACAATAGTCAAGCTCACGTTTCCATGGGAGAATGTTGGTCAAGTTGAAAAGCGATGCGATACCTGCCGTAGATTTGTTCGCGTTTTTGAGGGCGTATATAGGAAGGAACGTGCCTCTTGCTCTACGTCGTCGTCTTATCCTGTGAGTGAAGTTTAATGGCTGCTTTAAACTGGGCGTTTTTAAGGCTTATCCCGGCAAGACCTTTTGAAGAACTCAGAGCGACCCCGGCTATCTGGCTTGTGAGCTGGCTTAGTATTTCTTCGTTTGAACAAAGACTTCCGACCTAAAACCGGCTGATCCCAAAGTAGATAAATTTTCAGTTGTCGTTTGTTTTTCTATCATTTTCATAGTTAGAATTCGTCTTCGCTTCCATTCCAGATTTAAGGTAATTTTCAGTCACTGTGCTATATTTCCAAGTAGTTTGCAAACTGTTCTTTCTAGGCTCGAACATAACAATAAGAATAAATTTTGCAATAATTCTGCTTGAGCCGAGGTTATTTATTTCTCTCCCGTTCAAGATTTTACTCTGTATGTTATTTTACAAATGCAGAAATAAAAGTCTTGTTAACCCTTTTGAAAAACCCGGTCCAAATTACAATTCGCTTTGCGGCAGCTGCGATTCGCTTTCCTATCACCTCATTTGATATTTAATCTGAAAACACAGCCTGATTACGAGACTGATTGGTAGCTCCTGTCCGCTACTTCCTCATGACTGCTCTCACTCTTAGTATTATATTTAAACATAACGCCTACAACGTATGCCAGAGCGACACGTGTTTTCCCAGATATGAATCCGTCTGTTTTCGCCTCGGACGTTTTTAAATTAGGTCCAGTGCCATTTTATTTTTCAGCTCGTCCCAAGCTCTCAACTGTGAACGAAAAATATATTGTCTGCAAACTGGAAATTTCCTCCGTAGGATCCCTGTATCTGGTTTCATTTTCTCTGTTGTTTCTCTAGCAAATTTTCCCGTGACGAAGTTTACCTCCTTTTCATCTCATTATTAAAGAAGAATACGAGGAGTCCTCGCGCCTTCTAACACTGCCTTTAATTAAGACCAAAATTCCTGAGCCCAAGCTTCATTACTCCCCAAGCCGCCATCTTGGCGGCCTTGTCTCTGCCTGGCAATGCTTGCAATGCAGTCATGGATTGTGCGCTCTTGTTGTGTATATACAGAGATACGTGTGTGCTTAACACGCTATACTACGGAGGCTTAGTTATTGCTGCTGAACATACGGTGTCGCAGCGGCCATAGTTACTGGAGTGATAAACACGGTGCTGCAGCAGCCATAGTTACTGGGCTGATAATACGGTGCTGCAGCAGCCATAGTTACTGGACTGATAAACACGGTGCTGCAGCAGCCATAGTTACTGGGCTGATCACACGGTGCTGCAGCTGCCATAATTACTGGACTGATCACACGGTGCTGCAGCTGCCATAGTTACTGGACTGATCACACGGTGCTGCAGCTGCCATAGTTACTGGACTGATCACACGGCGCTGCAGCGGCCATAGTTACTGGACTGATCACACGGTGCTGCAGCGGCCATAGTTACTGGACTGATCACACGGTGCTGCAGCGGCCATAATTACTGGACTGATCACACGGTGCTGCAGCTGCCATAGTTACTGGACTGATCACACGGCGCTGCAGCTGCCATAGTTACTGGACTGATTACACGGCGCTGCAGCTGCCGTAGTTACTGGACTGATTACACGGTGTTGCAGCGGCCATATATATAGTTACTGGACTGATCACACGGCGCTGCAGCTGCCATAGTTACTGGACTGATCACACGGCGCTGCAGCTGCCGTAGTTACTGGACTGATTACACGGTGTTGCAGCGGCCATATATATAGTTACTGGACTGATCACACGGTGCTGCAGCTGCCATAGTTACTGGACTGATCACACGGCGCTGCAGCTGCCATAGTTACTGGACTGATTACACGGCGCTGCAGCTGCCGTAGTTACTGGACTGATTACACGGTGTTGCAGCGGCCATATATATAGTTACTGGACTGATCACACGGCGCTGCAGCTGCCATAGTTACTGGACTGATCACACGGCGCTGCAGCTGCCGTAGTTACTGGACTGATTACACGGTGTTGCAGCGGCCATATATATAGTTACTGGACTGATCACACGGTGCTGCAGCTGCCATAGTTACTGGACTGATCACACGGCGCTGCAGCTGCC